TATGATGTGATTTAACACACTTAGCAGAACAAGCTCCATATTAAAAAAGGACCTAATACGCTTTCTGGGGGTTTTCTTTCCTGTATGTGTCAATATTTCTCTCCGTCTACATTCACAGCTTATTACATCTTCACCCTTTTCCAAATGTAGGGTGATTTATTCACCAGATACATCTTTCAACCAATGAGCTTCCTCTATTTCCATTGTTATTCCACTTCCTCAATGACTGCTGATCACTTTCCTCCTTTGTGGGTGATTTGACTCTCTGAGTTTGAGGCATTGTGTTGTTCACTGTGTGATTCATGTCTAACAAGACACATATGGGGAACTGGAGGTATTTACGATGTCTCTTTGAATGTGAGAAAAAACTAAGGAAGGGTTCAGTAACACATTTTATCTGTAAGCAACGTTTAGTTGAAATTAAGGCCTTTAATCGCCAACAAAAAACCCATTATCCATTTTCACAATGATCACTATGATGTGATTTAACACACTTAGCAGAACAAGCTCCATATTAAAAAAGGACCTAATACGCTTTCTGGGGGTTTTCTTTCCTGTATGTGTCAATATTCTTTCTCCGTCTACATTCACAGCTTATTACATCTTCACCCTTTTCCAAATGTTGGGTGATTTATTCACCAGATACATTTTTCAACCAATGAGCTTCCTCCATTTCCATTGTTATTCCACCTCCTCAATGACAGATGATTGACTGAATGTCAAATGTATATAAGTATATACTAAGGGAATTTGAGTGTGTGCTCTCGGGCTTCATTCTCAATATTTGTCAAAAATATAACGCAGGTGTTCTACGTTGTGGGAAAAAGTTGATTTATGTTTTTCTTTGTAAAATTAAGATATAATCAAATACTTTTTCACCTGAAATACATGTCAAACAAACCTGTGTACATCTGTCAGTTTAAGAGGAGCAAATGCATTTATTCTCATCTCATGTGATCTAATCTGCGTCACCTTTAAATGAGACCTTTCTCTGACCTTAATCAAAGCCTAAATGAGTTTCCTCAGTGAATAGCTGCCCTCACTGTGGTTTGATGGTGGATTAGACATAATTGGAGCTGTGGCTTCGTCACGATTCAGTCCTGTGTAACCCGCTCCGGCTAAAAGCTGAAACCCAATATCTGCCTGGAGATGTTATGTTATGATGTCGGCTGTTGCTAGTCCATGACAAATCTTTGTTTTTGAGTGTACACACAGCCACAATGCTTGTCCTAAAAATAGCAACCAATATTCAATACCAATGCAATATCCCAATGTCTCTAATGAGCTGCCATTTCCCTCAAACTGCAGACAGAGAGCAGAGAGGAACATATCGTCCTCATTAAAGGCTCTTCTCCAAGTGTTGACTCAAACACAGGATATTAGAAGTACTGCTATGAGAATGGTTCTTAAGTACATATATTTAAGTATGATCAGGATACTTAAAGTATTTGGAGTAAAAGTGCTTAAACTCCAAATTGAAAATGTTTGACTCAAAACAATACTTAATCAATGAGCAAAATGGTTGCCAATACATTTTCTGTCAACCCACTCTTTGTCTAAGGTGTTATTATATATAGTGTAATACTGGATAGTTTAATCTACATACACAAATCCTATTTTAAAAGTTCTTCATAGGTTTTATGTGTAGAAATCAGAATTTATAAAGTGACTGTGAAAAAGCTGTAACCTAATACATACCCTAACCCTAACCCTAACCCAATAATATGAACTTTAAATAAAAACGATTAGGTTCTTAACTTAATATTATTGCTTTCAACTAACCTAATACAGTTATAATATAAGATAAGATAAGATAGTACTTTATTGATCCCAATTTGGGAGGCTGTGGCTCACTGGATAGTGTGCTGGACTTTGAATCAGGGGATAGCAAGTTCGAGTCCCTCTGCAGTCAGCATGTCGTTGTGTCCCTGAGACACTTCACCTCAAATTGCTCCTGTGGGGATTGTCCACAGTACTGACTGTATGTAAGTCGCTTTGGATAAAAGCGTCTAACAAGTAACAAGTAATAAACAAGAAAGTAGAAAATATACATGTTGAATTTACAAATGAACAATCACAATAACAAAATATAAAGCAAGTTATTATATATACATAAGTACGAGAGGTCTGTTGACATTATACATTCAATTAAAGTCAACGGTTCAGTTTTTTCAGTGTACCTCAAATGTGTACTTAAGAAGAGTACTCGAGTAAAAGTACTGAGTTACTCTCCAGCTCTTCCTCAGGGTGCAGGGTCTGACTTGCCCCCTTGATCCTGCGTTCATTAGGTCTCTGCTGGGGGATTGCAGTGTGGAGGAGTGTTTGCTCTGCGCAGCTCTTTGTTAAAGCCGCCCTCAGGGCTTCGGGGAAATGCTTAAACTAACAAGTGTGCAGCCGGCAGTTATCTGCGGATAATTGACCTTGAGTACACATCATTGATTTTAGGGATGCCGCGGTGGTTTAAGCGCTGCAGTTATATCGCGTGGCATAAATGGAATGTGTGTGGGTTTTATTCGCATTATGGAGAAGAGCTATATACTCACATACAGCGTGCATATAAAACACAGCATTTTCTATACCATTTATGAGCTGTGGGGTTCCTTTTATTTGAAACTTTAAATTAACAACCTCTTAGATTAATGTTTTGTAATTGACCCCGATCAAAGCTTAGCTCCAGTTGTTAAGCCTTCATTTTACAATGGTAGGCTATATAATGCGATATACTCAATGATTACAGCTGCAGATTTTCCGCTTAAAATTTATAGTTATTTTTGATTCAATGGGACCTTCACTTAAGATAGATGTAAACAAAAAAAGACTTTATCAACTACAGCAAACAACATTGACAAAAACAACCATTTGGTCTAAAATATGCATTTCATGGATACATACATTATCTCAGTCGACTTAAAGTGGACCTATCATGCTATATTTAAATAATATAGTGGAGGCCCATACCTATATAAGGCATATTTATACTTTTTTTTTTTCAAAATACCAAACAGATCATGCATATTAGCCATGCCTCATTTTGCTCAATTTGACAATTTATAGCTCTGCAGGGGCAGATTATGTGAGAACAGCACCATCTACTGGCCTGGCATATGTACTACAGCGTCTCCAGCGCTTTCGAACGGCAATGGCCGTGGCGGTCTCCTCCTGATTGGTGGAGTTGGCCCAATAGCTGTAGCGCCACGGTCCTGACGTCAGGACAGTGTTCAAATCTGGATCAGTTTTTATCAGATCCGTTGCAGCCCCTTTTTTAGAGATTTGGGTATGGAGGAAAATAGAGAGGGTTGTGTTTTCTGACACTTGGTGAGTTCCCTGGAACACCGGGGACACATATTCATGTATAAAAGACGTACAAAAGTGCATTTTGCATGATAGGTCCCCTTTAAGTAACCTGAAAAGGCCAAAGTCCCTGGAAGAAAGTCGGCACACACATGACATGTAAGAACAGCAGGGCCGTCCCTAGCCAACATGAGGCCCCACGCAAAGTTCTATGATGAGGCCCTCTGTTTCGCGAGCGTCGACGGGAGGGGGTGCTAGTGGAGCCTCGCAGCAGCGAAACCGTGCCGCGCCACACTAATTGCGCCGCATAAGCGCATAGGTGCGCCGCATTTTCGGCTCAGTTGAGGCACCCTCCGCAAGATGAGGCCCCCTCCGCAAGGTGAGGCCCCACGCAGTCTGCATGATCGGCCTGTAGGGAGGGACGGCCCTGAAGAACAGTATACAGTTTAATAGCTTAAAAGTCATTTAAGTAACTTAATTGGCACATCATGTAGTTATGCTAACTTTCTGCCTGGGAAGAAACCTATACTTTCTAATAAAAAAAAGTGGAAAGAGGAGAAGGGTGGCACTGCCAAGTTAAATGATCCGTCATTGTCCTAATTTACGAGTAACCACTTCCTTCATTTTCTCCTGATTGAGCATGTTATTTCTTGTGGAGGCGGCAAAGATGATTAAGGTTTTCTCACATTAATCACTTCAAGCTTTAGTCAGCTTTAATCGGCAGGATAGTCAGCATTTCCCGGATCTCAGAGAAACACTGTCTGTGTGATGCTGAGTTCATGTTGCTCAAAAGTGGTTTTGTTTGTGCAATCATTTTAATATCAATAATGAGCAACTACTCTGAAACTGTACAGTCAATTAATGTCAATTGTACGCTTGCAAAGCAATTCAGAAGTAGGGTATAAACTTTCTCTGCATGCAGCGATCAATAGCGGCTCTGGTCTGTTTCACTTTAACCTCATTTTGATACCAGCCATGGATCCACATAAACACACTGAATACACTTTAATATGAAAGTTACCGTACTGTAAAGTTATGCTTACCTTTTTGTTTTGTGTGCCTCTACTGGGACATGTCTCCATGCTTTGATGTTCAAAAAGCTCTTTATTTTTCTCATACTGCCTGTGCTGCAGCACCTCTTTTCACCCTCTGTCTGAAACCAGAGCCCAGTCTGCTCTGATTGGTTAGCTGGCCGGCTCTGTTGTGATTGGTCAACCGCTCAGAGATGTCACGCCCCTTAGCCTATCACTCACAATGAGTTGGAGCGCTAGCCAATAGAAGCGCAAAGTTTACGCTTTTGTGCTTACGCTATTGTCAATCTTTCAGTTTGTGTGTACAGACAGAGAGCGAAATACCGTTTCCCACAATCCCGAATACAAAAACAACAAATATATAATACAAATATGTATATACCTACACAATAAAAGACACATTTATACATATCCACACATATGACCTTAATAAAAGCACAACAATCAATACATACACAAATAACAGTCACTTCAATATCTTTGAGAATGTACATTAGTGCAAGACTGTCAATGTCATTATGTCACAGATGTAAACTTGTGATTTAAGCCTTTGCAGACCATTTACATGCACGGAAAACCTATATAACACACTACAGTGAAGGGAAAACCCCCCCAAAATCATAATAGGGCCTCTTTAAACTAGCTCCGACTTAATTTTTCTGTGTTTTTCTCCCACAGTACCCGCATGCAGACCCTCCAGGTGGACTCGGTGCAGCGCTGGATGGAGGATCTGCGCCACATGACGGAGGTGGAGTGCATGTGCGTCCTGCAGGCCAAGCCCATCGGGGTGGAGGAGGACGCCCAGCAGGGGGAGCTGATCGTGGCCTCGGGGGTCGGGGGAGGGGACCAGGTGGCGAGAAACAACCTGCAGACGCTGCTGCGCCGGGCGCTGGTGGTCAGCACGGAGCTGGGGAAGATGTTCCAGCGGCTGGAGAAGGGTCGCTGGCAGAGGGTCCACAGTACGGCCGTCAGGGCCAACTGCCACGTGCGCTCGCTGGTGCACGAGTACAGCGCCGCCCGAAACACACCGCCTGAGATGCAGAAGGTGAGTGATGACAGGGAAGAAGTCAAATAGAAAAAAGTGTATTTAATTACACCAATATCACAAAACATGATGCCTCAGATTAACACACATGCATGGCAGTGCTTTAAAGGTGGGGTAGGTAAGTTTGAGAAACCGGCTCGAGATCGCTAGAATTTGAAAATACACAACCGGAGAAAATCTGCCACTTCCTTACAGAGCCCCTCCTCCAACACACACGAACGCGCACATGACCAATGAGGGCACGAGATAAGTTTGTGCACAGATGGAAGGCTGACAGGCAGGTAGGCCATCCACTTATTTTAGCCGGGCCGGCTCAGATGATTGGTCGTGCTTTTTACAGTACTACGGCTTCCACAGATGACATTTTTGTATGGATTTTTTGTCAAAGCACTTAAGATATTCATTGCTATCGGGATGTTAAGAGCATTCCATGGAATATAACAAAAAGTGTATCTCGAGCCGGTTTCTCAAACTTACCTACCCTACCTTTAAGATAATAAATGGACACGATAGAGGGAAACATACAGCAGAAAGACAATAAAAACAACACAAATCAAAACAGTTTTTGGTCCTCAAAAATAATCAATGTTCCAAAATAAGACAAAGTGATGACAGGGAAGAAGTCAAATCAAATCAAAGTTTATTTATCTGGCCCAATATCCCAAAACACGATTGACTCAGTGGGCTTTATAGATTAACAAACATGAATGACAGTGCTAAAAGTTAAATCAAATCACAAGAATATATTAAAAGGACAAGAAAGAGTGAAACATATACAACAGAAAGACAATACTGTAGCGACCCTGCATAGGGTGCTGGGTGTGTCACTCAAGCGTCCCCCGTCTCTCTGCCAATCACGGAGCTGCACAGTAATGCTGGTCGGTGTGCGGGCCTGTGGTTGGGGGAGCAGAGGGGGGAGGGCTGGGGTGTCGTGACGTTGACCCTGTTGTGTGTGTGAGTTAGGGAGTGGAGTAGAGAGTAATGACAAACCTGTAACCTGTAACCTGAGCTGGATTCTATAACCGTAAGCGAACAAAGGAGTTATTAAAGCCAATCACTGGAAGCCTGTTTCCGACTCCCTTTGTCGAACGTTACAATACGAATACCACAAATAAAAACAGTTTTGGGTCCTCAAGGCTTTAAAATAATCAATGTTCCAAAATAGGACAAAGGCGAAGATATGCAGTGAAGTTTTCAGATCAGGCACTGAGACTTCCTGACACAACAATTAAGATTTAATTAGGACTTTTTCATGCTGTTACATTAAAACGTCTAACTTTAGAGTTCGATCCATTCATACTTTGCTTTGGCTTATCATCACACTAAGAATAGAAAATCAATTGGTCACTGCTAAATACATTTTTAAGTCTACACACACTCTCAATCCTAGGAGTGGATATTAGGTTCCTGAACGTTTTTGGATTTATCTAGCTATGTCAATGATCAGAATGTCGAAAGTTTTATTTTAAAGATAATATTTCTGTTTATAACAAATGTTGATACTAATGCATTTTCTCACAGTTGTATATGTTTCTTCTCTTCCTTTTGGGGCAGTATGAGAAATCTCTGCTGGACAAGTGTATGGAGCTGACCAATATCACAGAGAGGTAAGACTTTTAACAATTCTTTGATACAATTGCCGGGAAAAGAAGACGTTTATGTGGAGAAATATCCAAAACGTCCCTCCCCCTCAGGTGCCTTCACACCGATGATGAGTTCTTCCTGAAGTCAATGAGGGAGGCGATCCACGAGATCCTGACCGACGTCAGCGATTCCTTCAGCAACATGATCGACATGGCTTTAGCCAACGAGATCCGGGTATGTGACGTAATCATAAATATTGACCCAATATATGTATTCTGTATCGACATTGAGCCCCTCCACATGTGCTCCATAAAGTGTTCAAATATAATTCCTAAGTACAGATTTCCCATCATTCGGTGGAAATAATGTTGAATAAGAACCATGTGTATAAAAAAAGTAATTCAAGTCCTTTTTAAGTCCTTCAACTGTTACGCATTTCTGTATACTGCACCATGGGAAACAACAGTTCATCTTTATCCTCTTTGCCATCAAAACATTTGTCCTAAGGGCAATTTGAAAGATTCCTGGATGACATAAGAATCCCACAGCAGTGTCTGACAATATGATTTGCAATACTAGGTTTATTAAAGGTCCCCTATTATACTGTTTTTCATCAATATATTATAGGTCTCAGATATATACAAAACATGTCTCTGAAGTGTTTGGCTCCAAACACCAAACAGATCATTGCAGCATCCCATAATCCCCTCTGTTTCAGCCCTGTTTCAAAAGTGCTGATTCTCTGTCTGTTACTTTAGATGAAAATAAGGAGCCCCTCCCCACGCCCCTCTGAGAGATATTTGGTTACAAAGAACACAATGGTGCTCAAGGAGGAGATTCAGGTGATAAGGTGGTGGGGGGGGTTACCTTGGTTGGTGATTGGCTAATGGTTACTCAAGCCAAAAAATCGTTATGACATCATAAAGTGGCCAAAATCTGATCAGCTCATTTTCAGACAGGTTTTTATATAAATGGATCAGGACAAAAAGAGAGAGAATCTTTTTTCCTGAAACGTTTAGAGTCTCTTTACACAGAGGGGACACATGTTGACGTAGAGAAGACATGAACAAGTGGATTTTGCATAATAGGTGACCTTTAATAAAGAAATTGACACACAGTTTGATGTTCCTCCAGCTCCTGATCAAACAGATCGACTCCTCGGACAGCGTGCACACCATCGGCAGCGCCATAAGCAACCTGCTGTCGCTCACACAGGACGGCCCGCAGCTCTGCAGCATCATCGCCAAGGTACTGATTGACAGGTTGAAATGTTTCCGTCTGCGATGAACCACTGACGCATTTCATCGTGCAAAAAAACCCTGTGAGGTCGGAGATCCTGACGTCAGAGACAAGTCAGCGGCATGATGGATTATATTCTTAGATTTGTGATTTTTCACACTAGCCTTCCTCCTTGTCTTTGGCAGAAGCAGCTTCCTTTGATATCACTTCTCCACCCCTGTAGACACACCCCTCTTATGATCAGCTTCACCTTTTGCTAAAGTTCATCATCCAGCAGACCTGCAGCTATCTCTTTGAACAAGCCTCTAAAAAGCTATTTCACTCTGAGATAAGACGAGGCAGACCCGACAGCAAGTCTCAATTGGCCATTAGTTAACCGACTGCTTCCAGGATACTCTTGATAAGGCTATTCCTGATGGGCCACACACACAGGGAATAACACACACACGCACGCACGCACGCACGCACGCACGCACGCACGCACGCACGCACGCACGCACACACACACACACACACACACACACACACACACACACACACACACACACACACACACACACACACACACACACACACACACACACACACACACCTGCTTTGCTGCCAGATATTCAGATCAATACTGCCAGCTCCCATTAGGAGTGAGCATTGGTCACGAATGCAGGTTGCTCAGTCTTTACCCTTTAATCCGCTCCGCCTTTCTTACCTCCCTTTATATCCCTCATTCTCCTTTCTTTTTTTTTGTACTCTTATTTTGTAGATTGGTGCAGCAATGACTCTTAAAACCTGGTTATGAGTTAGCATTTCTACCACTTCCAGTTTCCTCGTCTCAAAGTCAATGATGTTCTTGAATTCGTTTTTAGTTAGAAGCCTGAAATAAGGTCTATGGTTAACATAAGCTTAAGAGATATTGATGTTTGTTCTACGACATAAAATACATCAGTAAATACCCCACTTGTGAATGTCTGAAGCTTCTATCTCTTAAAAAACGATGGTTGCCAACAAACAACTAAATGAGACTATTAAATGTCATCTTCCCGAGTGTTAGCCGCCTTTAGCTTAGCGGTGTTGACATGAAGTCAATCGAACACAAAGTAGTTTGTAGCGTTAAGATGTCATGTTAACTTTTACTTAAAATCTCAAAGTGGTGTTATTATGTGTAGAGGATCATGCTCCATAATCCAATGTAAATATCCCATTGGCTTTCTGTAGCGGGAGCCATTGCAATGCTAACTTCAAGGTTAGCCATAAACAAATTCAACAACGTTCAACAACAAAAATAAAAGCTGTTTTTCTTTACTTCAGTCTTTAGTCGAGGTCCGATTGATTCATAAATAACTGCACATTTTAGGTCTGCAACTGTTATCAGGGTGTGTATTGCACATGTACCTCGCTAAATTGAAAAGCTTAAAAAACAGAGTGAGCCCTCAGAGAGGCGTCGGCAGCACCTGCCAATGACTGCTAATGAATACCCAAAACAAAACATCCTCCACCTGCGTCTGAATTAATGAACTAGCACCAGTCAGTCTGTCACACACTCACAAACACACCCTTTTTTACAGAAGTGTGTATCCTCTGGTTCATATCCAAGCTCTTCACTAATTATTATTTTCCACAGCCTGCTAACTTTACTCACGCATTTGTTTAAAAACCTGCAATGAGGCGTTAAATGTTTGGCTCTTGATATTTCTTGTCATTCTTCTCTTGATAGACAGTGTTTAGAGAGTGATGAGCTGAAGAAGGGAGGTGCACACATGTGTGGAAGTGAAGCATGCAGCATGAGAAATAAAGATGAATCATAGTGTTTGCAATGATGGAAGAACCAGATGAGAACAGTGTAATGGATACCAGACAGTTTGAGGCGGTGGCAGCTTCTGAGTATTGTGTTATAATTAAATCGATATTTAACGGCAGGTCCTAATTGTTGCTAACACTTCAACACATAAGGGTCGTTTGTCAATTCATAAATGGGTTTTGTAGAAGATTTCAAGAGGCCATATTCTGCTTTTTGGGGTTTTCCGTTTCCTGTAGTGTGTTATAGGTTTTTGTGCATGTAAATGTTCTGCAAAGGGTAAAATCCCTGTTCCCACCAAGGTGCTTTTATTGGTTAGTGCTTCAACACACTGTAAGCCAGCCAGCTAACCAATCAGAGCAGACTGGGCTCTGGTTTCAGACAGAGGGTGAAAAGAGGTGCTGCAGCACAGGCAGTATGAGAAAAATAAGACACTAAATACACATATGAACCTGAAAATTAGAATAATATGTCCTCTTTAAAAATGACTCAAACTTGAACTAAATAAGTGTTTACTGAACTAAAGATTTCAATACTTAAAGCTGTATAATTGACTATTGTGGTTACTGTAATCATAGCATTTGAATAATATTACCTTTTATATTTAATGACAAAGAAGCAGTTGCCTTCTATAGCAATGTCAGGCAAAGAGTGATTCATTTGTTTCTGGCTACAGGATTTAGGAGGCGTGTGGCAGTGGGTTAGTGCGATGATCTTCGAATCAGAGGATAGCAAGTTCAAACCCCACTGCAGTCAGCATGTCGTTGTGTCCCTGAGACACTTCACCCCAAACTGCTCCTGTGGGGATTGCCCACAGTATTGAGTATGTAAGTCGCTTTGGATAAAAGCGTCTAACAAGTGTCATGTAATGTTATGTAATGTTATGTTATGTAAATCAAATATTCACTTTCTTGGAGGGAACAAAGTAGGTGCGTGAGATCTGCCGTCTCATTCCTTCGCCTCATTCATAGGAACAAATCCCAAGTATTTTATTCTTCATAATGTATGTGTGGTTTATATTATTGCAGGATCCATAAAGCACTTTTCTGTAGTTCTCAGTTTCTCTAACTCTAATCCCAAATGTTGTGACTGAATGAAATGCATCTGCTTTAACAAGCAGGACAGAACAAGCTGTTCAATTCATGTTCAAACACCGTCCTTTATTTGATGACCCAGTCATAATGACAAAGTAGACAAAATATTAAAAAAGCTTTTAAAGTGTGCTCCTAATTCACCAGAACATCTTTTTATATCACAGAGATAAATCATTATACAAACAATGATTCACATTTTCAGGTAGATTTTCATTTTCACCTGATCAATATGTTGAGGAAGCAACAAAGCGTGAGAGCATACTAAAAAGGAAAAATGTAAATGATTAGACGGTGTTTAATACCGAGCTGTGTGCCATCCCATAAATCTAACAGCAGCTGGGATATTACAGAGCGACCGTGTCACGGTGTGGAGGGGAGTTTGCTGTCTCAGAGTTTACACACCGTCATGACAGATACTGATTTAAAAGTGTGTGTGTGTCCTTGCTCTGAAAGTTGTATACGCAGGTTGTGAGAGCATGATGTGGCGATAACTCAGGCCGGGTGAGCAGCAGCAGTGTGTCGTCAAAACTACGTAGATAGAGAGCAGCGATGCATCATTTTGTGATTTCTTTTTCGGAAATGCAACATGGACTATGGCATGATTGGTGGAATATCTAAATTAGGTATTTTGGTGCTGCAAACAAGTCCTGGTCTTGAAATGTTATTATACAGACTTAATAATCCTCTTAAAAATCACACAATATATGATACAATGATATATTGATGACTAATGTTTTAAAGATGACATATTATGCTTAGTTTCAGGTTCATATTTGTATTTTTCGCATCAACTGAGACATGTCTCCATGCTTTAATATTCAAAAAGCTCTTTATTTTTCTCATGCTGCAGCAGCTCTTTTCACCCTCTCTTCATTTAAATTAGACTGCACAAGCCAAGTGTTATTCTTATTCTAACAAGCATTATGATTTTGCTTTGTCCACCAACCTTTTCTCAAACACAACGAGGTCCTTGAAAAACTAAAAGGTTTTACTGACTACTTTTTTTGTTTAAAAATGAAGAAGTAAACTGTCTTCTACCTCAAGAAACTGCGGACGCTTTGTGAGATCAGTTCAGTTCAGATTATTATGAGATGGAAAGAAATGACACGCTGTCTCGGCCTTCACATGCAAACAAACGGATGGAGATGATGATGATGATGTTAGTGCAGCAAGTACCGAAATGCACGGGTGTGAGGATAAATGTGTTTTTTGGCTTCATTGAAGGAATGAGAATGAAGTCAGTGGAAACTAGAAGTTGTTTAAGTGGGAAGAGCTCAGCGATCTGTGAAGAGGAACCGCAGCAGAAAGTCTGTAAAGATGAAACAAACAGAGAGGCAGTTTTAATACAAACTGATGAATAAAACTGTCTGGTAATCAGACTGGAGGTAAAATATATCCTCTGATCGATTTCGGTTTAAGTGTGGATAAAGTAAGGCAGCTTAATGCTAAAAAAGTAGTCTTGAAGCAAAAGTATTCTACAATCCGTCTAAGTTACTACTGCGTTATTTCACATGCAAACAACCCTTATCATGCACAAGTACAAGTATTGCTTAAATTCCATAAAACATGCTACTGTAACTACATAATGCACTTACCACAAAAAACACCATTATGAAAGATACATTACCATCATCACCAAAACATTTCCATAGGCTTAATTTAATAATGTGATTGCAATGTGATTTTTATATTTCATAGTTTCATATTCCTCCTAATGGAAATGTTTCGGGCCATTGTTGCGTATTTGCACTTGTTGGCCACCATACCTCATTATCAAATGAATATTTAAATGCAGTTTGATGGTTGTGACTTGATCTCTTGTTAGGCAGCTTTGGAAATCTTTGATACCTGGGAGTAGCACACTTTAAAACTAATATAAACGTTGTATTCAAAGACACCAAACGTGGCGCTGTCACCAAATAACTAAAGCAAAATCTATTCATAGATTCTCCACAGACTCACTCTGAACAGTATTTACCTAAATCTAAATCAACACCTGCGTCACAGAATAACAACAGGATCAACAACCTCTCTGGAGTTTCAAAAGGTTTAATGAAAGCAGTCGCTGTTCGCAGTTCTTCCAGGTAAAGCAGGACAGTAATGTGTAGGCGGCTCACAGCAGGATGATTAGTCTCTGAGCGCCCCGACACCATGGCCCGCAGCATATGAGACATGCCAGCCCTGTATAATGGCCTTATTAGGATAATGGAGGTAGTTACAGGCTTCGTCTTCCTCCAGGTAATTCTATCTATCTGCACGCTCAATACAATGCAATACCTGCAAGTGTTTTTCCGTCCGAGGGGTGCTTCAGCGTAGACATGGAGCTAAAGCAAGAGCTATTTCTGTTTGTTTACGCCATAATCCAGGAGAAAATGCTCAGCTATTATAGCCATCTTTTTTCAGCTTTTCCATTCATGAAATATGTATATCTTGGCGGTTTTTACCTGACATGATAAATTGTGCGAGGCATTTCATAGATTCTGTGTTTGGCAACCTCGCTGAGTAAAGCCGGCCAAATCCATCGGTCATGTCGGGTCCCCTGGACTCTTTAAACCGGCTGCTGATGTTGGCTTACATCTGAGGACCTGCTGCCCAGCAAGGAGCAATTTGATCCATCATTTCCAACAATCATGCGTGCTTCAAGACGAGAGCTGATTGTGACGTACAGTGCATCATTTGATGTTATGAGGCCTAATGGAAGGCCTGTGAAAGTTATAAAAGAGCTGCGCTACAATTTTAAGTATCAGTGTTGGGATGTAATAAAGTATATTTACTCAAAAATGTTGCTTAAATATAATTTTGAGATTCTTGAGTATTTCTTTATTTAAGTATTTTCATTTTATGTTACCTTAAAGTGGACCTATCATGCTATATTTGAATAATATATTGTAGGGCCATACCTATATAAAACATGTCTGTGAAGTTTTTTTTTCAAAATACCAAACAGATCATGCATTTTAGCCATGCCTCATTTTGCTCAATTAGCTCTTTTCCAGCCCTGTTTTTGCAAGGGCTGATTCTGTGAGAAGTCTTCTTCGCTGCTTTTGTGGCAGACTACAGCGCCACTTACAGGCCTGGCATATGTACTACAGCGTCTCCAGCGCTTTCGAGCTGCAATGGCCGTGGCCCAACCCCCCATTCCCCTGATAGGTGGAGAGTTGCCCATATAGGCGGAGCTCCCCGTTTCTGACGTCAGAACAATTTCAAATCTGGATCAGTTTTTATCAGATCCATTGCAGCCCCATTTTTAGAGATTTGGGTATGGAGGAAAAGAGAGAGGGTTGTGTTTTCTGACACTTGGTGAGTTCCCTGACACACCGGGGACACATATTCATGTATAAAAGACGTACAAAAGTGCATTTTGCATGATAGGTCCCCTTTAAACTTTTACTGCATCACATTTTGGAAGACAATATTACACTTTTTACTCCTCTGCATTTATCTCTCAGCTTTAGTTACTTTTATTAGCAATAACAAATTTAGGTCAACTAAACAAGTAGATATTAGTATTCTTATAGGTTAAGATATCCAGCAGCAGTATACAAAATAGTTACAATTGGCTCCAAATGTACCTGTGGTGATGAACACATGAATGCATCAATAATCATAATCCAATAATTTGTTATATTTGATATTTACGCTTAATTAGTTTTACTTTTGCTAATTTTAATATTTTGAGACTCTCAATCATTCTGTTCACATTTTTCAAAGACACCTGCTGTGCTGAAGACTTTGTTATTGTTGTGGGACCTGAGCGTATCGTATCTAGCGTCAGTGCAGTTTTATGAAGCACTGTGGACCTATTCTAATGCTGAAACATGTATTTAATAACTCTTTCTTCCCCCACAGGAAGGAGCCGTGGTGTCCCTGTTTAAGATCTGCAGGCAGGACCGCTTCAGAGATCTGTACGCTCACGCTCTGAGGACGGTGGCCTCCATCTGCTGCGTGGAGGAGGGCATCAACCAGCTGGACAAGGTAACACCTCTCATGCATACACAACACACATTAAAGATGACATAAGAAAGAATGAAACGATATAATAGAGAAGAATGAATGTCAAGATTGATTTACATAATGCAAATAACTTATTGTGTGCATAGAAAATCAATTAAAATGGAGAGAAACATGGCAACAAATATGGAAGCCCTGACGGTCAAGTGAGACAAAACAATTATAATCTTGTGATCTTGTGATGTTTTCAGTGAAACAGGAGGGGTAATAAGGTTTTGCAAATACAATTTACTTTCTCTAAACCCACGATACATATATTGTTTGCTAGCACGATATGTATCATTTCACACTTTTTGTTATTTTAGCTAGAAATGTAATTGAATCCTATATTTATGTAATATATATGGTAAAAGTACATGCAGGGCCGGTTTTTGACATAGGCGACATAGGTGGTCGCCTAGGGCGCCAGATCTGGGGGGGGGGGCGCTGCGCTGGTAGCTCTTGGAGGGAAAAAAACATGTTTGACCGTTGGTGCTCATCCTAATTTTCAGCCTTGATGTAACAACATTCATAATTAAGTACATTTAACACCCTTTTCATTTGCCCTGTACGATGGGCGCAGTAAGTGATGAAACTGGGGGATGTTGGCTTATCAGGCGCCCGCAGCTCACAGCCAAAGTGCGAGTGAGCGTGGGAGCGAGCGAGGGAGAGAGGGAGAGAGAGGGAGGGCGCACCGGTACCGGCGCTGTTGTTATTAGCATCTGGTGCTAGCTGCGCTAACGGATATAAGAAGAAGATGTTTCTACAACAAGGGTCTACAACCAGCTAAAATCTCGCCGAGGGCAGCAAATTGTCTAGAACCGGCCCTGGGTACATGGAGGAATTAAAACACACCTGGAAGAAACCAAGAACTCACTTTAGTACTTGGGGTGGCATTGCACTTCAGCCTCTTGAGGCCAAAATAGGTATTACAACAACAAACACAAAAAGAAAGTAAAGGAAACTTGTAATAAGGATACTGGCAACACACACTTTTTCTCCTCATTGGCCTCAAAGGGTTGCCGTACACACCGATCCAGATTTTCATTTGCTGGAAAATACTCTCATGCTTCATTGACAGTAATCTGAGGTAATGACAGTACTTCCAGTAAAGTACTTTGCCTCCCTGCAGTCCAGACGTTCACGTTCACACCGATCAGCTGAAGAACAGTCTCACTACTGTTGCACTCATTCAGATTTTCAGCCGTGCTCTCACGTCTCATGCAAAGACTGCGAGGCTAGTTTATTTTCACAGGTGATCATGTGCCAACAATAGCAGCAGCAGCAGCAGCAGAGACGAGAAACACAGTGAGCGAGGAATCAAAGATCACACACTTAAACAAAGGGGTTCTTTACTGGGAAGTTCAATAAAGTCTTTCAGGTATTGGGTTGGCCTTTTAAAGATAATCCAAACTAGTTCTGCATTGGTTTCAATGTACAATAGCTTTTTTTATGATTACCTATCAATGATAACCCTAACCCTAACCCTATGAACACATTATCATAATCCAGTAATTTAATAATAAGGCATAACACATTATTTTATTAAAGTATGATTTCAAATGCAGGACTTTTACTTGACAATCCGGTATTGGTACTTCTATTTAAGTTAAAGTTCTGAGTACTTCTTCTATCACTGGATTTGACTCACTGCTACCATTAGACTCAATCAGAAGAAGCCGTTTATACAGACAGGGCGTGCCAGTCCTCTGTTTATCCCTCACAATAAATAATTGATGTGGCTGTGTATTGTGTAGGAGGCATCAGTGCAGCCTCTGTGTTGGTAGTTATATTCCTGTAATGTTACTTTTTCTTGGGGGAAACTTTGGTCTGCAGCAGTCGGGTTCTCCGGTTTTCTATTAACGTGATTACATTTTCATGAATGAGTTTAGCGGGTTCACTTACCTCAGGGCAGGGGAGCGCCATTTAACGATCGCTGTATAATTTTAGGATCGGAGACAGTGAGAAAATAGGCATCATGCTGTTTACCGCTGGCTTCTCTTTCTGATGACAGAATGATACAGTACACTCACTGAGAGATGAGTCATGATTTACTGTGTGTCTGTGTTCAGAGATGAGATCATTATAGGAGACCTCCTGACTGCTGAGCTCACAGGTCAAACTCCTCACTGTGTGTGTGTGTGTGTGTGTGTGTGTGTGTGTGTGTGTGTGTGTGTGTGTGTGTGTGTGTGTGTGTGTGTGTGTGTGTGTGTGTGTGTGTGTGTGTGTGTGTGTGTGTGTGTGTGTGTGTGTGTGTGTGTGTGTGTGTGTATAAAGTAAAGAAGGCAGGGAGACAGAAAGATAATGACACATCCTTCTTTGTTTGTCCTCGTTTGTTCTCTTTTGAGAATTAATCCAAAATAAACAACAGACGCACCTGTGTCAAGCGAGCGTTCACAGAAAGACAAATATAACCTGAATCGGGCTAGTAATGATGCCACAGCGGTGTCTCTGCTCGGCAGCTGGGACAGTAGGAACCATCAGAGTGTGAACACTTGTTTCTTAACGGGAACCAAAGTCCGCCTCAGATTAGCATCCTGGTCCCGGGGGGAGGGGGGGGAGGGCTGTCAGGCGAGTCTACGCCACCGAGCGCTCAGGCTTGAGAAACACACCTGTCATTGTTGAAGGGTGATCGGTATCATCTGTACTGCTCATTGGTGGATAAACTGTATATTAGCTCAGTTTTATCCCCAACTGGAACATCATAGCATGGTGTTGAAGAGTCTTGATGAGGAATGCAGCTGCTAAAGAAGTATTAAGACAGAAAGGTTCAACAGGAAGTGTGGAGGACGGATTACTGGGATGTGGTGTGTTTTAAGTAAACCTCTATATTGTGCTACACTGCAAAAGATGACCTTTAGCTTACAGTTTTCAAATATTGATTATAACTTAAAGGGGACCTATCATGCAAAATGCACTTTTTCATGTCTCTTCTACATCAACATGTGCCCCCTCTGTGTAAAGAGACTCTGAAAGTTTCAGGAAAAAAGATTCGCTCACTTTTTGTCCTGATCCATTTATATAAAAACCTGTCTGAAAATGAGCTGATCAGATTTTGGCCACTTTATGATGTCATAACAATTTTTTGGCTTGTGTAACCATTAGCCAATCACCAACCAAGGTGACTACTGCCAACCATATCACCTGAATCTCCTCCTAGAGCACCATTGTGTTCTTTTTAACCAAATGTCTCTCAGAGGGGCGTGGGGAGGGGCTCCTTATTTTCATCTAAAGTAACAGACAGAAAATCAGCACTTTTGAAACAGGGCTGAAACAGAGGGGATTATGGGATGCTACAATGATCTGTTTGGTGTTTGGAGCCAAACACTTCAGAGACATGTTTTGTATATATCTGAGACCTATAATATATTGATGAAAAACAGTATAATAGGGGACCTTTAAATAATATAAAATAATTAAATGAAGCACACACTAGAGATGTCATACAGACAGAGGAAGAAGGGAATATACGGAATCACTCATGTAGTTTGCCTAAGAAACAAAACTTGGGGCCGCTGATTGGCTTCATGGTAAGAACAGGGAGCACAGAGGCAGTATCTGCTGCCCAGTACGCGAGTTCGACTTCGACTTGCTGAACCAGCATGTCGAACCCTCTGTTCCCCCCCCTTCAACACTGCATCTATCAGTAAAGACACTGTCTGGCCTTAAAATATCTAACCAAAAGAACAGTACATCTTGCCCGTACGTGCTATTATATCTAACTTCTCATTTAAATCAAAACAAAAACTGCACTCTGCACAAGCATAATATCTGAACCCTGGCTTAAGGTCATGGAGCTTGCCAAAATTTATGTTTTATGTCTTGCAAAACCACGCCTATCTGGGTGAAATATCAGATATTCAATTGTCCTAAAACTATATAAAGACACTTTATACAATTATCTTCTGTGTTCTCAAACTAAATAGAAAAAGTAACAAATTGATTTTAGTTTTTTGGCTTCTGCACTTTTGTTCCTTGAAACAAAACCACAATTGAATTTATTTCCTGTGGTCACTGATGGAAATATTTTCAACAAGAGGGTATGCAGCAAAAACTGCCTGTGAGTGAGTTGTGACACTTCGTAATACAGAAAAGTTTTATTTTGGAGTCAACCCAGAGATTAAACTGACTGAGATCCATCCGGTGTGCTGCATGAGGAGTTGGGGAATATCCTATTTGAGGGAGGAGGAGGAAACGGAGAGGTGGGGGAGATGAACGGGGGTGTGGAAAGTGGATTGTTCCACGTCAGTGGGTCGGATGGCACAATTCTGCTGACGTCCATGGAGAGACAAAAATAGGGAATTGCCCTGTGAAGCTCTGCGCTGATGCTCGTCAGAGGAGAAGACTGACAGGTGTGCGTCTCACTCCGGATCATCCTCTCCAAACTTTAGTTTCAGGAGTGATGGCTGAGCAAAGCATGAAGTACTCTCACCTTAATGAAAGCAAGAATGACTGTCATTGAAAGGTAGAAATTACATGTTTCTGATGTTGCAGTCATGGATTTCTCACCAGGATATAATTAAAGGTGACAGTTGGCAACATGGAAAAACAATCCTGCAGATTATGACTATGCATTTTTATTTATAGTATGGATGATTTTCACTTACACACTTCCGAGACTTGAGAAAAATAGCTTCCAACAGATGCTGAGATCCAATCAGCAGCTGTAGTACAGTTTGAATGAACTATGCAGCACTGCCACCCAGTGGATGAATATCTGCTCAACATCTGCATTATTTCCTAAAGCCTTAAATCATGCACACACACAAGCAAACACAATGATAGGATAGATATGACATCATGCTCCTGAGTAAACTTCCTGCTCTTCTCTGACTCTGGTGATGCTCACAGCTGGGTCTCTGCATACAAGAGTTTCTGGGCCGTTAAATCAGAGTGCTGGCTTTAATTGTGATGGCTTTACGGGCAGAGCGGCA